AGACAGCAGGTAGTACGTTGCACGTCACGCTTCGCAAGCCAACGCGTCATCGTCGTACCATGACGGAGTCAACAAAAAGACCCGACCGCAAAGGTTAGTCACAAATATGGTGCAAATAATGCTGTGGCTTTCCGTACCATTAATTATTCCATAAAGTTACCTGTTGAGTCGTTTGAGAGTGATATTTTCATGAAAAAATACAGGGAAATCGTCACGCGATGTTTGCAGTGCCCGGAAAATTATTACCCTTTGCATAGTTCTTCTAAGGGCTGATACTCATAAAATAAAATACGACATTAACAAATTATAAAATTACGGTTGTATGAATAAAATACTTCCAATTTTTCACTTTTTTATTTAGATAGATTATAATTTATTTCATAGTTATTTTTTTTATAAATGGTGGCAGCTGCAACCTACACAACTTAAAACGAATTACATTTGAGAGCTAAGATGAAATCCCTCAGAACCTTTTTTTTATAGTATAGGGTAACAAACGAGCACACAGTCCACCTGATGGTAAGTGGATGCAGTGGCATATAGACATCTACATTTATCCTCGATTAAGAATCAAAATGCAGATGCGTTGTCACCGCTGGAGACTAAGATGGAATGCCTAGTTTCCAGTAAAAAGGGTCTCCGGTTCTCTACACTCACCATACGAAACACAGCAGCATTAAGGTGCTATTTTACGCTAGTATTCTGTGAGAGCGGAGTCCTAGCCCCGGTCGAGCCGACCCATTCGTGCTTCAACCATAATATAGCTGCAACGTGGCTCTACCAAGAAAAAAATAATACCTGTAACTATACACGCACACAGCAAATACGAGCACTGATATTGGGCGGCCGAAATAGTGCTTACTTTTTAAAGTAAGCAATATTTCGGTAAAAGTTAATTATGTTCGAAAAAGTAAGTAAAAGTAAGCATTACTTACTTTTTCGAACATAATTATGATAACGATAAGACAGGTAAAGCTAAGATGCATAGAATCTTAGAACAATATTGAAAATTATGGCTCCAACTGGGCCTAAATCTAGGACTCGCGACGCAACGCGACGTCGTAAATTATAACGTGATGCTAATTGACTCCCTTAAGATGGCTAATCTTTGCAGCATTGTATAAAAGCAAATGTATAGTTGATTTTAAAATTGTAACGATATCTGTACCTATAATGTAATATAACATAAAACATTACATTTGTTATAATATTATATTTATGTTTTTAATTTATTTGATTCGTTTCAAACGACAATTCATTCTAAAACTAATTTGGAAATGTTGAAAGTTCTATTCAAAATACACGAAATATCTGCAATACCATTGTTAAATGAGATTTCTTAATTAGGCAATTAAAAACAACGCTTTTGCGGGAAGTGATACCTACCGGCAAACCATTCCTCCTAGTTGCAATAACGCACTGTGGGTTTTCGTTCATGATGTTCACAGACTATAAAAAGAGTGATGTCATAATGGCTGACCGACATTGAGTCAGTACCCATTTAGGCATTCGTACTAAAAATTATAGCAACTGACGACATAATATGTGCTTGAATCACTATTTGATGGCAACAGTCTCGTATTTAAACAATTATTTACTCCAGCTTAGTTCATAATTGAGGGAATTAAAATTATACGGCGCAAGAAATAAGAGTCAAAATGAAACTCAGATTACTCAGCTCAAAGTAAATAAGATAACGTTCTGAAATAGAATTTTCATCACACTTTTAAACACAATTGAGTGATTTTTTAAGCAGCTAAGAAATAAAGTAGAAATATGATAGGTATATAGATATAGTATGTACCTACTATATTAAAATAATACAAAGTTTTATACAACTTGACTAGATACCAGTGTTAAGAATATACCAAAAAAGTTTGTAACCATGGCGCCAGACACGTGGCAAATGTTTGGGCACACATTTTCAAAACATTGAATAAATTTTGCGAGCGCAAGTTGGAATGCAAGAACACTTGCCAGACTTCTCTTCAAATATTTTCACTCTCACTATATTTGCAAAGATGGCCGAGTTTTTACAGAATTAAGAGTGACAAACGAGCAGACAGTCTAACGGATGGTAAGTGGATACTGTGGACATCTACATCTTATCCTCGATTAAGAATCAAAATCCAGATGCGTTGTCAGCCCCAAGGTTAAGATGGAATGCCTCGTTTTCAGTAAAACGGGTCTCCGGTTCTCTACACTCACCATACGAAACACAGCAGTACTAAGCTGATATTTAACGCTAGTATTCTGTGAGAGCGTGGTCCTTCCCCGGTCGAGCCGAACCATTCGTGCTACAACCATAATATATAAATAAATACATAGAATGCACGTCTATTTTGTGGACGCCGTAAGAGCTCTTTTACTATTACTATACTTTAACCAGCCTATAAGTTTTCTGTTGGACATGGGTGTAGCTCCTTCTGTTGGGAGGATTTGACATAATCGCCACTCTTGGCAGGCGGATAACGATCGCAGTACCACACGTGAGCACCTTTGATGTTACCGCCCGTCGCTGTTAGCTAACACAAACGAGATGGTAATGCCGTCTTGAAATATTTTAGCGCTTAGATTTTATTTTTTGCTCTTAGTATTTATTACACCCACAGGACAAAACGGGATGATGAATTATTCTCTTACGCGGCCACCCCACAACTATTTGGCTACCTTTACTTATTTGTGGCTTGGGAGAAAAATATCGATGTATTGAGATATCGATAAATACTCATAGAAATATCGATATATATTTTAGAGTATCAAATTCATATCGATCCGATATATTTAAAAATATATTAATCGACATAACATTAAGCAACCCTACTAGAAGGTAGGACTCTTTTCCTGCCTAGAAGTTCTTATACTATTATACTGTGCTACAACTCCGTCTGGGTTAAACATGTGTCATTCATTCATTTCTAGTGACCCGATCATTAAGGTATTGACACAATAAATAATAGTACATTGATTCGTCACACGAACCGGATGATACGGGTCGATCATTCAAATGGATCATTTCGGGCTTCAGTACTCTGTGATTGTGAGACCCATTCGTACTTAATATCCACTACGGTTCTGTATTTTACTGGAACGAAGTTCCTTATCGGACGGTAAGAATTTGGCGGATGGGGGCTAGGCGAGAAAAAGTGTAAGATATTTTTTCGTCACGACCCCTTCTAACGTAGTGTAGACGGCCTTGGCGGCTATAAGAAAGCGAGATGGAATAATATCCCATCTTCCTCGCATTTGTTCTAGTTATGCCATGAAAGAAATTTTATTTTAAATGACGCTTCATTTTAACGGACGCTGGTTCATTTATTGGTATTTGTTAATCAATAATATAATACGTTTATTAATAATAATATACTACGAATGGAACTTCGTTCTAATCGAGTGTTCCACGACACTCACGCATTTTTTTAATATATTTTTTTTAATTATTTCTGTACTGTGTTAGTAGACTTTTTCTTTTCTTATTTAGTTTTTACAATAAAAGATGAAAATGCAGGAGAGAAAGAAAAAGAAAAATCAGAGCCTTCTATAATATCCGTATAATATTGACGGCTCTGCTTAAAAGAAGCTCAAAAATTTGATAACAGCATCATTACTCCAGTCCAGTCCATTGTTAATATTCATTTACAAATGTTCCTCCGATCAACGGCAAACTCGGCACACGCGTTATTAAGCCTTGCAAATTTTTCAATAATTGCGTAGCAAGCCGCCCAAACTGGATTCCGAAGTATAAATGTGTGTTCAAACTTGGCACACATGCTAAAGCCAGTGCCAAACTTAGCGACTTTATAGGTACCTATTTGCAAATTAGAATCTAAGTCTGACGTTCGAATAGGGGGTTTTTGGTTTTTGCTGGTTTTAGCGGGAACTTGACCCCGGGGGATTGCTGTTATTGTATATAGCTTAAAAAATAGTTCGATGTGGTTGTTACGTAGAAGTTGTATATGAAATGACTGCGCATGTAAACTTTTAGTAGAAATGAGGAAACAAGTGCTACAATGGTAATGTGAACCTCAAGTTATTGTCTGCTTAGACGCCATAAGATATTATCGTCATCGACAGTTTGCTGGCTCAAGCTACCGTCAACATCTCCCGAAAACTTCGCAATGTTTTTAATTTTTAAAAGGCATAATTCATAACACTCGACACTAGCAAAAGTACAAACCTTACGAATGCATTACCAAAGAAAGCAAAAAGGTTCGAAAAAGTGATAATTAGTATCGATACCAAATACCTACATGGGCTGTAACGGAATCGGAGGCCACGTCGATTGGCCCGGGAATGTCGACACAACATCATATCGAGTTTATTCATACGACCAGAAATATAATTGTTTCCTTGCTCATTTTTAAACTTAATTATATGATGATGTAATAACCAGTTCTCTGTGGATTTGAAAATGTGTGGAGTGTTGAACTCGACTTGTTACCGAAAAAATGAACATTACTCAAAGTATCGAATATTCGGTATCGGGACTCGATGCTGGAAGTATCGATTACTTTGATAATATTTATTCAAAAATTCAAATATGTCTGAGGAAAATTGCCAGTTCAGTACAAAAATGTAAAATTTAATAAGGATAATTAAGAATATGTGATATAAGTTTTATATAAAATGAAATTACAATATAATTACGGGTTGACTGGATTTTGAATGCTGACAGGCATTAAGTCTGCCCAAAGTTACCTTAGTTGTAAGGTATTACAATTAATAATTAATAAAATAAATAAATATATTCTAACATGAAATAAAATATGTAATTAAATAAACAAATATCGCGGCGTCGCTGAATTGTTTTTGATATGACACTGACAGAATCACAAATTTACTTTCTCAGGGATTGAAATGTAATAGCAACTTTTAACAAAACAATAAATTGTAAAAATATTCCACAGCACAGAGCCATTTTTTTTTTGCTGGCCTTTGATCATAGCCAGCGGTCTATCTATCGGCATGAAACCAAACCGGTTCTCCCGCCCTTTACTCACCGCAACCACCAGATTGAAGAAGAAGAGCACATATTTCACGAAACTCGTTCCACACCCCATTTTGAATACACTGCGAGTCACACAATAAACTTCACCAGTTGAGATCACTCACAAATTTACTTGTTTACTTATTCGATAACCAAACGCGGACTCACTTCAACGGCGAATCGAAAACGACTAAATGAAAATAAAGGGGAGATCGCGTTGGCGACGCGGAGTGTGTGTTACCACGTAATTATTTTTGCACTGCCCGTTCACTTATAATTAAAAATTTATTATAAACGAATTGTGTGGATCTCGGATAAATTTAGAAAGACAACATTTCAATAAAACTAGGATAGTTTCAGATTTATTTTGAATAATAAATAATAAATAAATTTCAAATCGATAACTTTACTAATTTTTGGGCTTAATCCGTTCAAAGTTAAATTTTCAGAGTTAAATCCAACAGAAAATTTTGTAAATCTGTCTTTTACATACACAATAGTTTTTATACCCTAAATTTGTGTCAAAATCAAATTTACAAATTGAAAAACCTTTGAAAGTTGAAATTAGAAATATGTATGTATACATAATTTATTGATTATTGGATATTTGCTCACCTGCAAAGCGAGTTTGACCCTCGCCAACACAGCTAAAAATTTTAGGTGCAAAATAAGTCCTGATTTACCATATTTTGCTCGGCGGTGAAGGAAATCATCGTGAATGGAGGATATTTGGAATACGCCTACACGTCCTCTTGTTCGTTGTGTAGTAGATTTTTTTTTTAAAAATACAGTAGGGAAAAATACCTTACAGTAATGAAGGCAGAGCTTTACCCAGCTATGTTTTTGAATTGTGTTTTTGAATTTATTGACATTTTACATATGATAATAATTGATTTAACTATACTTTTGTTAAATTCGATAAAATGTAGCTACTCTTAAACTTAACACAAATTATCTACAGCTTAGCGATAGTTAGTACTAACTAATTTTATGTATAACGGTTTGCAAAATAAAATATTTATTTTCTCCCTAAATTTGTGTAAAAATGTCATGTTGTCATAACTTACGCACATCTCTTGATGCCCCGCGCGTTACTCACGTACAATCCTGACCCCTCATTCATCTATTCGCGCTCCCGCTCATACATTATAGAGTTGAATCATATTTTCATCTCACTCTATCATCTTCATCTCGAGATCTCGAGTCGACAGGATTTTTTCTATCAAAAGAATGCCTACTACTGCTTCACGAATCATTTTGTATGGTTGGCACGTATAGCACAGAATAAGTAATACATAGTATTAGTATTTTAGTTTTATATTACTACACATCATATTCTTTATATATGTAATTTGTTCTTATGATTACAATAATGTGTGTAATCAATAATCGTTTCCCAAATTTCTAGTTTTGCAAAGATTCGAAATATCTGTATACAGTATGCACATAATCTATGATGCATCATGCACTGCTTCAAAAAGATAAGATTTCTTGCTTCTAGACATCAAAACTAGATTAAAATAGGTACCTAAACAACATAAATAACTATGAAGTATTTTTTTTCGTCTATTATAATATAATATAGAAGCAACCCACCCCGGTAATTTTTTAGATTTCATCAAAAAAAATCCAAAACTTGGATGTTTTTGGCATTGTTTTATATCTGTTAGTGAAGTTTCGTTTACATCGGTTCAGCCATTCCGAAGATTAGCTCGGACTAACAGAGAGACAGACAAAACTTTGATAAATGATTATTTATGTATTAATAGCACCCCTGAGCTTAATAGAAGCCAGTTATTTTGATATTAGAGAGATACTTAAATGTTATTTAATATATGCATTGGGTATAGTATAGGATCAGACAAAATAAAAAGTATTTTTATTTTGTCTGAGAGTATAGGCAGATTAAACTACCTGCATACTGGTGGAGCATGAGTAGGTATCTGCCGCTCTGAGCTGCTAGCGACACTACCATTATTATCAGCTAACCACTAGAGATATAATGAAGGTGATCATTTTCTAGCTTGTAGTTGTCTTACGAGTATGTTATGTTTGGGTAGGCGAGTCCACTTTATTACCTGTACCTATTTCTGCTGCGAAACAGCAGTTAATCCAAAGTTATATTTTCCATTTTAGCACTCAGAGACATACGCCTGTAATTCTTTTTTGAAGTTGTTTGCAATATGCAGGCGAAGAAATTGAAATAACATTTAAATACAACATCATTAACATTGCGGGTGTATGAATTGCAGTTAGCTACCACTTACCACAAGCTGCAACAGATATGCAAGCAAATAGGCACCTGTACCTGAAGTTGAAGACAGACCGTGCCAGCGTCATTTCCGAGACACCTGAGATCTTGAGCGAGATTGAGAAGTTCTGCGGAGACATGTACACATTGTCGTTGACTGCATCTCACTATGACGATATAGGTATATAACGACACAAGAATTTGCAAAGAAGACTCATCGTATCGCTGTGTTAAATGGCAAAAAAAATTCTATTGTTTAATATGCGCGATATTGGCTTGCATCGTAGACGTACCGTCCTATAGTGTGTCTTTTTGACAAAGTTTAACCGAAGCGCAAGCTGAAAACTAGACTTCCTTTAAATGTGGCGTACTTTGACTATTCTGGATTCTCCCACAATTCCCATCTACGTGCCGGATTCTGTGTATACGTCCGCAATGACATCTGCTCCAGTGTCTCCTTCATCTTTAAGATCCCAATTTTTCGGCAATCTGGGTGATCAGGTATGGATAAAATCCTTTATGCCTGTGTCTACCGATTGCACAGCGGTGACCAGGTATCCTACTGCACAGCTGGCCTTTCTGGGGGACTTTTTAACGCCTGTTACCAAGACTGGCTGTTCCCATACCAGAAGATCGGTCATGCTGGAAGGGAAGGATGGAGTTTTGCCTTAATTCCCAACTGGTAAAGCAAGTGACTAGGGTACCTGATATCACGCAGACAATTGATTGGACCATCTGCTGACTAACGAACCTGACAGGAATGACGTATCGTGATTTCTCCACCTGATTACAAGTCCTAAGGTGTTCCACCTTATATTATGGCGGTATAAGTAAAGTGTACGTACACGTCCCGTTTTGAACGGGACTGTCCCTTTTCTCGGTCACCTGTCCTGTTGTCCCCAAACAAAGCTCCGGAACGCAAAATAGTCCCGCTTACCGAAACCAAATAAAATTGATGAAGAGTTTGTGAAAACAGCTACAGAATTTTATTAAACAAGCCGTGAATATCTGGAACAGTGGACTTGTTCTCTTACTAAAGATATGGAGATATGTTATTGGACAGATTTAAGCAAAATACCTGCATGGGAAGGTATTCGAAAAGCACTAGATGTATTGATTTAAAAGGGATATATTTACTGTAATAAAGATATGGAAGTATTTGACGAAATTAAATTAATTTTAAGCTACGTCACTTCCCAAAAAATAACAGAATGGGATAGTTTAACTTTCCACAGAAACTCGTTGCGTGGAAGTAGGTATTCAAACACTTGCACCAACAATTTTCAACATAATTTTTTTTGTATTTTAATCGAACATATTTTATGTCTACCTGGTACAAATGCTTCAGTAAAAAGAGTATTTTCTATAATGAATAAATTGTGGACGTCTGAAAATAATCACTTACAGGTTCTAGTTGTAAAGGCGATGTTGATAACAAAGGTCAATATAAAAAAACATGTCCAGAATTTTATTCTTATTTAAAATCATCACCAACTTTATTAAATCAAATTTCTTCAACTGAAAAATATAAATATAATTTAAAAAAAATATGTTACTATCTGAGAAACTTTGCTTTAATGACGCTTTGGAACTGGTGATTGATTTTTATTTTTCCCAATTTGTTATAATAAAAATAATTATAATTAATGTGAATATAATTATAGTGAACACAAAATAACGTTAAAAAGTTGTGTTTGTTGTTAATCTGCTAACTGCGTGTATAAATAAACCCATGTCTCGTTTTGAGTTAAAAAAAAATATGGTCAGTTTAGGTATAAGTCAACTTATTGTGATGAGATGCGACATGCGACACTCTTATTGCATCCTATCCTTAGCGGGAGATCTGTTTCTGTTCTGCGGATCCATTGTGCTGCACGAATGCAGCCTTTTTCGCTAGGCATTTATTTATAACACTGCTTGAATATACTTTATTTCCACTATAGGATATACGGCTGGACGGCTCCGTGGCGCAGTGGCTTAGCAATGACTTACTGCGCTGAGGGCCGCGAGTTCGAATCCCGCACGGAACAAGTATTTGTAGGGCCTACAAATTAAGGATCCGGGTCAAGATGTTTGTCCTTGTGCAATTTATGTTTGTAAACTGCCTCCACAATACAGGAGAAAATCCTAGTGTGGGGGTAACGATTTTTTTTAAAGAAAGAAAAAAATTCGACAAATTTATTTTTTATTACCGTTCCTGTTTTAAAACGATACCCGCAATGTGGTAGAGACACGCTGATGTTATAAGAACGTTGTAGCACGAATAGGTCGGCTCGACCAGGACCACGCTCTCACAGAATACCAGCGTAGTATAGCAGTTGAATGCTGCTATGTTTCGTGTGTTGAGTTAAGAGAACCGGAGACTTTTTTTATTGATATCGAAGAAGTTATTTAAAAAAAATTACACTTTTATTTAAGTATCGCCAAAACATAATACTACTGCCACAGAATAGATAATAGCTACTGCTCATAAATATTTTTTCAACTGCTACTTCAAAATGATTAAAAACACCTTTACTTATAATTTTCACTTTTTTTTACTTAGTAGAGTTTAAATAACTAAGTACTTAATTTTTTAAATACAAAATTCTGGAATACTATATTCCTTTTTTATTTTTTTACACCACTTACCACCAGGTGGGATTATGGTCAAGCACTGTCTTATAATAAGTAAAAAAAAAAACGATGACGTATATTTCTTTTTTATGACATTGCTATAATTAGCTATACTAAATATGCATATAGCGCGCATGCTGCAACAGTTGCATAAACCATTGTGTTGCAAACGCGAGCGATTAATTGCGCGAGTAGAGCTGTGTGTG